ATTTTCAAACCGTCTTGCCCACCCCCACTCACCCCTACCCCGCCTCTTGTTTTCCTTTTGCCACTTTCTGTTACTTTACCTTCTAGAGAGACATCTGCGGTTCGTGATAAACCAACCCCAGGAGCAACACCTATTTTTTTTTTTTTCTTTTTTTGTCTTTTTTTTTTTTAAAGTTGATTTTAGCAAGCTGGGAAGCTCGCAGACAAAGGGGGTTAGTGCTGGAGGAAAAGGAGGGAGGGGGTGTTTTTGCAGGATGAAAGAGGGAGAAACGGCTGCAAATGTCTTTTAATTTTTTTTTGTTGGGGGGGTGAGAGGAGAGGGGTTTAGCGCAAAGGCTCTGGAAAAACGGTTGCCGTTTGTGTTTGGGGCGCGGATGCCTCTTGCTCGAACGCAGCGCGGGCTGGGGCAGCGGGGAGCCAGCTCTGTGCTGAGTTAGCTCTGCTCCGGCCGGCTGAGGTCTTCTGTTGCTCTCAGATGGGCTGGGAGTGTCATTAGGTGCAAGAAAAAAAAAAAAAAAAAAAAAAAAAAAACACCCAACAAACCAAACCCCCAACAAAAAAACACTCAACCCTCTGAAAGTAGCTGTGAGGCACGCCCGCACCCCCCCCCCAATTCCATCCACCAAGCTGGGAGCAGGTGGGCTAGGGAAGAACCCTCCCAATAGCCGGGGAGAGGATAGAGAGGTGCCAAAAAGGAGGCGAAGAAGGAGGGAAGGACCTTAATCTCAGGGTTTAGGCAGGCTCGGGGCTGTTTGGGATCCCAAATATCGGGGACGGACCGTCAGGCTGCAGACGGGGTGCAAGCAAGTTGGGTGGTGGAACCTTAATTGCAAATTAATCGATAGCAGATATTGGCTGAGTGGTTGTGTATTGGCTGGGGCCGGGGAAGTGTTCTGGTTGTTGATCTGTGATTATTTTGGGGGTCCTTGATGTGGTTTGACCTGAGGCCAAAGGAAGAGCCCCCCCCCAGGCTCAGGCACCCCCCTGGGAGCTGGGGCAGTGCTCAAGGAGTGACTCTGGGGTCCTCATACACATAGGAAAGGGGGGCATGGACTCAAATTTGGTATCTATCCATCTTGGGGGGGGAGGGTTGGAGGCTCCTTGCAAAGCCTGCCAAGGTTTGTCTGGTCCATATAGCAACATGGGGTCTGGAGGGCTGTAGAAGCCCCTAATCCAGAGGTGAGGGGGAATTGTCAGCCCCCCCCAAAGGAGGGACCTGCGGAAGGGGTGAGAGCTTCTCCAGGGAGCCCCTCAAGCCACCATGGGGTTCAGGTTGTCACTGTCACCATCCCTCTTCCCTGCTGCTGGGACACAGGCCTGATGCTGCCTGCAGGGTGGTGCTGGTGAGGGGGACAGGATCAGGCCCCACCAGAGTCTCCCCAGCCTGCGCCAGGGATGTCACTCAGCCCGGCTCGGACATCCTGAGCTTGGAGAGGACTGGCAGGGTCTGGCATGGCTGGGTCTCTCGGGGGGGGGTGGGGTTTTTTTGGGGGGGCTTTCCTCAGCCCCTTTTACCTCCGCTTTCCCTAAGTGAACTATGTGCTCTCTTGTTTCCAGAAGGCAGGGAGTGTGTAAATTGTGGGGCTACCTCAACCCCTCTGTGGAGAAGAGACGGCACCGGGCACTATTTGTGTAATGCCTGTGGACTCTATCACAAAATGAACGGGCAGAACCGGCCCCTGATCAAGCCCAAGAGAAGGCTGGTGAGTCTCCTTTTTTATTCTTTCTTTTCCCTCTTCTGCCACTTTTGCTTCTTGTCTGCAGCTCGGGATGGACAGGGAAGCTCAGCCAGCTCCAAAATCTGGTCCCACCGCATCAGAGGGCTGGGAGGAGGGGAAGCTCGGAGAGATGCTTCCAGCCGCTGTGGGCCTCAGTTGTCTGGTCCTCTTGCAAACTGCAAAATAGGTTAAAAAATCAAGATCCAGGGCTTCTTGCAAACCAGAACGGAGTTTTCTCCCAGGTTGCAATGGGGCAGATGCCTCTGCACAGTGCTTCTGGATGGTGACCCAGGGACAGTGGCTCTTTCCAGGGGCTAAGGGCAGAGTAATCATTTCCTAGTGACCAAAGAGATTATCAGGAGAACGGGATTTCTCCTGGGATCTCCACACTGCTGTCCTCCCCTTCCCAAGTGTGTCTCCATCCCCCTTGGCTGTCGGTGTCGTGGAGTGGGGACCCAAGCTGGGTACCGGTCACCATAGCTGGTGCCACTGGGGCACCGGTTGGTCTTGCAAAGCGCTTGACTGATGCTCCTGGTGCCAGCTGAATCTGGTGTGGTCATTTGTACCTGAGCTGTGTGGGTCCCAAATTGTGTCATTCCCCTCTGAGTCGCTGTGAGCGAGGACACAAGGCAGGGGATGGCAAAGCGTGGTGAGTGTGCAAGGCGGAGCGTGTGCCCGGGACCACAGAAGTTGGAGGAAAGTGAAAAGCGCGGGTAAATATTTAAAATAATAGTTGCAAGCCTCACAACTGTATTACGTACACGCAATACGTTACAGCATCCCCAGCGATCTATTTACGAATTTCCCTGGAAGCCACAAAAAGGTCTGGAAGCTGTGGGCATGGCTAATAAATGCGTTGAAGTGTATTTGGCAAATAATCAGGCAAACCACAAGGGGAAAAAATATACCAAGCGGGGGGAAAAAAAATATGTTCCCTGCTTGGGAAGTTATTGAATGTTTCGAATCGAGGCACGTTTGGTTTCGTTAGGATTAAAGATGTGGACGGGCTCCTGGGGGCAGCTCAAAATGAAGAGGAAAAGTGGCTCTCGCCTCTCCGCGGAGTTTCTGAGCTGATGGACGGATCCGGCTGGTTGCGTGAGGCTTGTGCCCGGCACGGCCGGATCCTGCAGGCAGGCAGGGGGTGGTTCATTGGCCTCGTGTTCCCCGTGAAGGTGCTCACGGCCTTGGTCCTGCAACTCTTAGACACGGATTGAGCTTCCTCACCCGTGAGATGCCCGTAAAATTGGACCGGTGTTATTCCCACAGGCGCTGGGAAGCGTTTGCAGGATACAGCCCCGGGAGGGGTTATTCTGTGAGGGGCAGCGGTGTCGGCTCTGTCCGGCCATGTGGGTTTTGGGGAAGATGCAGATTTGCTCATCTACCCCCAAACTTCCTGCGGGTGAAACCTCTCTGTGCCTTCCCCTGGGCCTTTCCCGTCTAGGAAAATGTTGGTCTCCCTCGTCTTTCATAGCCTTGTTAGAAAAAAGGAAAAGCTTTCTAGGGAGGGAAGTGCGGGCTGGGATTTTTAATTTTTTTTGAGCAGCTCTCTTGTTCTCTTCTCCTCCTCCCCCCGGCCCTTCTGTCTTAAACACACACACCTCATTTTCTTTTTTATTTTTTTTTTTCCTCGTTCTCTCTTTATGTGTAAAGTTAACTTCCTAGGAAAAAGCTGCCGGATATCTGAGCCCTGGAGATAACTCCTAAACAACAGCTCTGTTTCCCCAGCCCAAACACACAGGAGCTTGAGCATATCCAAACAAGCGGAGGGGGAGGCAGAATAGGAAAGCGGCTGGAAAGGGGGGGAGAGCTTTCAAAAAGTGTCTGATGGAACCACAAAAGAATGTCCCGAGTCACCCTCTTTACTTGATATAAAAAAAAAAAAAAAAAATAAATAAAAAAAAAAAAATAAAAAAAAGTGGGGGGGGGGGGGGGGGGAAGAGAAAGAAGGAAAAAAAGTAGAGAGAGACCTTGTCTTGCATAATCGCTCCAACCTTGGGCATTTTAGTTAAAGTTTAAGTTACAAAAAAGTTCCCATTCTTTGAATACGGCCTCTGCTAAATGGGAACTTTTGGTTTTTCTATATATTTTTTTTCTCCAGCACTGCCTGGGAAAAAAAAAGGAGAAACATTTCTAACGCTGTTTACCTCTATATTTATTTCCCTTGCTAACCTCAAAAAAAAAAAAAAAATCAGAAGGCACCAAAGCTGGGCCCGCGTTCGCGTTTCGTGTGCATGGATGCAGATGTGTGTGTGCCGTGGCTTGACTTCATCTTTCCTGACTTGTGAAGGCGAGCGGGCTGGGGAAGGTGGAGTGTGTGTGGAGGCTCAGGGTGGGGATCCAGCGTGTGCTCCTCTCCCTCTGCCGCGAGTTTCCTGCGTGACCTTGGGCTGGTTTTGTAGGCTCTGATCCCAGGCACGCTGAAACTAATGAAAGGACTCCGATGGGTTGGAGAGAGAAGGCAAATAAATCCTTAGATGCTGAGAACCCAGACAAAGCCTTATTAAATTTAATGGGCGTCTTTGTAAGGGCTTCCTTTAGGGGAGATGGATGGAGCCTTGCCGGTCGAGGGGGCTCAAACAGGTCAGCTTTGTGGGGAAGGTGGAAGATCTGGAGATGTTGGCAGGGGCATCAGGAACGGGCAGGTGGTACCACGCCACCGCTCTGCTTAAAAGGTCTACAGCCCCTTGGAGACCGTTCCTGTCCCTGTCAAAGCCAGCGGCAGCCCCGTCACTGATGTTGCTGAGATAAAACCTTTGGATTTTCTTCCTTTCCCTGCCCGTGTGGATACAGAGCTCTCCATTTCTGTGTCCAGGAAGGATTATAGCCAATTTCTCAGAAGACCCATCCACGTGCAGTCTTTTTTTAGGAAGCTGATGCTTGCAGCTTTCTGGGTACCCCATGTAAATCCAGACACCGAAAATGCCTCTTTAATGAAGCATTTTTATCAGTGCTTGGTTCCTCCTGCACCATCCTCAATTCCACCTTCTCATCACTGCCAGCGCTTCTGAAGTTGTGCCCTCGCTCACATGCAATTGGGCCATGGGGTCTGGTCCTACAGATGATATGGGGCACCCTATTAGTCATCCCATTACTTACATGGTCAGGCTCGGGTCGGTGATCAGCGTCAGTGGATGCCAATGCTGGGAGCTTTTACAATAGCGTTATTATTCATTGTTTCCTGCCCACTGCCGGTGTCTCCGGTATAAGTTGGTACAGCATGAAAGGTACAGTCTGGGACCGAAAGAGCACAGAGTGTAAAATATTCGGCTAACAACGCTGAATTTTTGTAGGGGAAATGCGGCAGATGGAAAAGGTTTTAGAGAAGATAGTGGATGTTGTGATTTATTTGTTTATTTAATGTCAGAGTTTGTCTGAAGGTAGCAAGGTGGTGACCAGGCGTGTCTTTTAAATGCACTTACCGTAAGAGAAATTACGGTGAGCGCTGTGTAGAAACCCCAAATATCTTCAAAGGGGATGTTTCCCCTGTGTGGGCTGAGTCAAATATCGCTGGTTTTTAGAAATTTCCTTGTGCTTGATTTTTGGGTCTGATAAGGGCAAAGCTGCCACCGAGAGACTCAATCCAGCTCCTGAGCCACCCATGCCGGCCGGTGGGAGCTGGAGGGGCAGAGACCTGCAGACTCGGCCCCCGGGTCTCGATGAGAGCCCGGCTCTGCAAGCTGTTGTGTCCATGCTGCATTTGAAGCACACGTATTAACCCGTTGATTTTGATGGGAACCAAATTTGGGGCTGTGGCATGGTCCAGAGGAGGACAGGACCGAGGCGTGTGTGCGCACATCTGTTGGGGGCTCTGCCGTTCGTGGTGGGATGCTTCAGCTTCTCCTGCCGGCACTGGGATTTTTGCAACCAAAGACCCGTGTGCCGTTCCCAGCTCCTGCATGTCATCTGCACGGAGAAGTCAGCTAGAGGCCTCATCGGGCTTGAGATCGGCTCGTTTCAGTGTGGTTTATGGTCAGGCAAAATGGAACTGTCCCCACAGGCAGCCGGTGAGGGCCCCTTGCTGTCAGATCAGGCTCTCTGTGATGCTTCCTAATGCTCATGGACATTGTATTATTTATATTTTAGACAGTCCTTTTTGTCTAATTAAGCAAAAAAATTCCTACTCTATCTAAAACAAAACCAACCCGTCCTCTCTCTACCTACGCCACATTCAATTATGATTAAAATTGCAACATGACCTAACAAGAGTTGGTATTAATGCTAGTGCTGTGCCAGTGTCCATGTTTGCATTTTGGGTTTGTTGTACGGTATCCAAAGATGTGGTATTTTTTTTTAAATGTTGGATGTGCTGCAATGTGCGGCTGTGTGGGGTGAGGGGTAAATTTGAAACAGTAAGAGCACAAAAGAGAGCATTAAAGGCTCAGTTCTGCAAGGTGCCAAGCATTGCTATGATCTGGCAAATCGCTTAAGCACATGTTTTAACTTTAAGCACATGAGCAGTCCCATTGAAAGCAACGCATCGGGATGAAATCAGAGCTCTGGGACTGTGTCATATTGATGAAGAAGAGATAGGACGGGGATCTAAAGGTCTTTTTTTAGGAGCTGTAGGCACTTGCACACAGGCAAACATGCATACGCATTCACATAGGAGTCTGCAAACTCCTTTTCCTCCTTCAGTGGCAGAAGGACAATTTGTTTGCTAAAGTTACAGTTTTTAAATGGTAGGCACGAATTCATGCATGTGAAAGAGGAGCGACTTTGCTAAACTTGGCTTTGCTAAATCATTATCGCAGCCAACAAAAAAGCTTCTTTATACACCTTGACACGTAGACTTTTCTCTTGTCCCTCCCCCTTTATGAAATGGTAAATTCTTCTTTCAGGCTCATTACCAATCGTTAAATAAACATGAAGGTTTAGGCTGCAAAAGGATGCAATTAAAAAGTTGGGATTCTCGCTCTTTGCCACAGTGTTATTTCCGATCTGGAGCCTGTATCCTTTGAAGCTGAGCTGAATTTATGGGACCGGGCTGTGCTTGCGGTCGGACCCGGTGAGCAGCTGCCCACCAAGCTCAGCGCGGGTCTCACCCGGTGCTCGCTGGAGCCGGCGTGACTCATGCCGTTGACTCCGGCAATTGTTGGTTCAGGCCCTGACTGCAGAATTAGACCCCTGGGGGGTCTGAGAGAATTAAGATGGAAAGACATGTTGGCATTTAAATAATATTTTCCCCTCTGGAACGGGCTGTGCCAGTGCTGCTAATTTTGATGAGTTCTATCAGAGGTTTAGCACTCACTTTTAGGATGCCCTTTGGCACCTGATTCAGTTCGTATATAATTTGAGATTAAAGTACCTCGGGGATTTTTTTCAGAATTATTATTTGTTCTCACAAGCCAGTTTCTGGAGGCCTCTGCCGATGTGCGTCAGTCTTGCAGGGTTGATGTTTTCTTTCTCAGCAATTTTCCTGATTGCATCTTTTTCTTTTTTTTTTAACACGGGTGCTTTTCTCTCCCTCTCCTTCCCTTCCCCTGTCTCTCCCCCTCCTTCTTGCAGTCTGCAGCCAGGAGGGCGGGCACGTCCTGTGCGAACTGTCAGACCACCACTACCACCCTGTGGAGGAGAAATGCCAACGGTGATCCTGTCTGTAATGCCTGCGGGCTCTACTACAAGCTGCACAATGTAAGTGTGACTGTAACGCTCAATAATGGGGCCTCAGTTTTGGTGCGGGATGGTCCAAACTCTTCCTTGACTTAAGGATTTCCAGTCTCGGGCGGTGCTGAGACCTCTGTTATCCCTTTGGGGACCTTGGGGGTTGTAGCCATGAGTCGGCATCCCCTCAAACGTAGCTGATTTGACTTGGGGAGGTATAAGACAGGGCTGTCCATGGGTGATGTTAAAGCTTTCCCACGGCTGAGCCAAGAAAGGAGGAGTGGATCAACACAGAGACATTATCCGCTGCTGATTGGGCTCAGTGTGTTGGAAAAGACAACATGCCGTCCTGCAAGCCGATACCCCTTCTATGCGTAGCTTGGTTCCTCAAGCAAATACAAACTCTGGAAAAAAAAGCAAAATATGCCAGCAACTATTTAGATCTTTCTTGGGTTTGTGGCTGCCTTTGTCCGGTCACTCCACCCATCCCCAAAGATGATTTATTTAGGTCTTGTGTTTGCCCCGGTTGACGCAAGTGATTCCTAAACCAAAAAGGACATGATTTAGTTAGCGGGTTGCAGAGTCTGCTCAACCTGTGACGTGAATTTTAAAGCATCTGTCATGGAAAGGAAGGAAAAATGAAATGAAATGGCTGGCAGATTTAATCTAATATCTCCATGCAAAGCCAGCTTGCAGGAACCAGGGATATGTGCCCCAGGGAAAGAGCTAAAGGGATCCGAAAAGTCTTCTACGGAATAATATTGCTAATAAAGGAGCCTTAAGGCTGCTCCTGTTATTCTCATTCCACATGTGGCATTAGAATAATTATTATGTCAGAAGAAGGAAAATACTTTCAATTTCTCTGCTTTGATATCACTTTTATTTTTTTTTCTAGTGGTCGTTTGCTTTATGTTTGACTTAGAAATCTCGGGCTACATTTTGCCCTCACGTCCACCCACGCAAACACATCAAAGACGGATAGGGTTTCATGGGGCACCCAACGCTTGTGGTGTCTCAGTCCCTTCCATTTGTTATTTCAAGCTCTTTGGTTTCTTGGGATGAGTAAACAAGTTTGGATTAAGTAGAAAAAACCCGACCCAGCCAGGCTAATTTTTCACCTGTTCTGTGAGAGGCATCTCTCCTGGAAAAAAGGAAAACGTGTTTACCCTTTAGTGGGCAGGCGTCTCAGCACGTTTTGAGTCCTATGTAGCAAGCAAAGCTTGTCGTCAAACTCTCAGTGTGATCACTGCAAACAAAGGGGTTGGACCTGGAGTGAAAGCTCTCAGAACATCACAAGAAAATATTCTGTTTGCTATTTCCATGGCAAGAAGGGAGCAAGGTCAGCCAGTTTCACTGGAGAGGTCTATGCTTGTGCTGTTTTCATTTTGGCCTTGTAGCCACTGGTGGTAGGACTTAAATCACGTAGCTTGGGAGACCTATAGGGAGACCTATACTTGAGCTGCTCCCCCTGTACCCCAGCAAAGCCCTTTGAAGAAAATAGGGTCTTCTCAGGTGCCATTCATTGGACCTGATGGAGGTGCCTGTGTTTGGATGAGATGACTTGTACCCTTGAAGACAATGTAGTTTCTCCCCATGACTACGAAAGGTGGCAGGATGATGAGTTCGATGTGTCTACCTGCATTGTAGACATCTGACTGGAGGAACCCCCCTAAGGTGTCTAGAATGATGTCTGAGTGCTGAGGTTCTCCAGAAATGTTCCTACAAGAGCACATCCTTTTCTTTTTCACACTGATGCTGTGAACCTCGTTGGCCTGAATTGACCCCTAGATCCACTGTTTAGGCAAACTCCCATCCAGCTGTGAAATTTGTGACATGGGGCAGGCCTTGTGCACATTGGAACCATTTTCGTAGTCATTAAAAACACCGACAGCTGCTTAAAGGTTCAGCACAGCTACTTACCAAAGTCAAGTAATATCTTGCCTTATGAGCAAGTCCATAAGGGAACCTGCTTAAATGAAACCCCTAGAGGACTGAGATACTGTGTGCAGCAATATAACTAGGCAGGGATACTAAAATCTGGCTATGAGTGGGTAGATCCTTTTTTTTTTTTTTTTTTACTTTTTTAAGATGATGCTTAGTAATGACTGTGGTGAGGAACAGGCAACATCGCAGCCGATAGCCCTTGAACATATCACCCTCAGCTTTAAAGGTCCACGATGGCAGAGCATTGGAGCATTATTCTGCAGCCCAACTGGCTTTAGAGGCTGTGACTGTGACGGCCACATTGTGCTTCAGAAGCCAAATACGAGTGAGTTTTTTGTGACCAGTGGTAAGGCGGTGGTAGCTTCACGGAGATGCCTTCTCTTTTTGGCTGCTGGGAGGCAGGACCTAGGGAGCTGTGCTGACTGCCTGGTGAATGGCACCAGCATCATCCTTTAATCAACTCAAGGCAGGGAGGAAATTTGGTGGTTGCACGTGGACAAGGTTTCTTGGCTGGTGCAAATTAGTCTGGTCTGTTAAAGTGCAAGACCTGTTTGTGTAGGCTATGGTCCTGCTCCCTTTGTGTGTCTTATCTGCATCGGTTCTCCATCAGGAGAGGTGTCAGAAATAGAGAGGCTCATTGCAGCATGTCCCTCCCAAGCAGCTGAGTGTGTCTGCACAGATGTTGTGTCAATGCCAGTGGAAGGCCTTTGGCCCCTCGGAAGATGCCTTCACCCTGTCTCAGGCTAGACTGTAGGAAATTCCTGGCTGCTTTTTTATCCCCCTCCTATTATGTCTTTTCTTTGGGTTTAATGACTTTTTCTTGGGCCTTCAAATTATTAGGGTATTTTAATGGATTGATTTGAAGATGAAACCCAGTTTTTAAGTCCACACCAGGAATGATTGCAGTGAAAAGGCTATTTTTTTTTTCATTGGGCTATATCAGTTTGTTTTACTGTCGATTCCCACAGCTTAAGCAAACCCATTTGTCAGTAGGTTATAAGCAATAATCATAATAGTCTTGGGGTGCATTTAGTGAAGCTGCTGGCATTTCTCCCACTGACTTCAACAAGAGCCGGCTCCATTAACACCAGTATTAACAATGACTAATATTTCACATTGATACGGTGCCTTTCATCCTGTGGCATCCCAGAGTGCTTTCTAAGATACATCCAGCCTGGAAGATTAACCCAACATTGTAATGACTATGTCTGAAGGATAAATCCGCTTCAGTGACAGGACCTTTTTGAGGTCAATGGCAAAATCCCATTGTCTTCAGTCAGAGCAAGATCAAACCCATAATGTTGAAGACTATCCCCTGGATTTGATCTGTTGAATGTGAGGTTCTTGTCCTTGTTATTTTAGTCCTTCTTAGAAGCGGGATGAGCCTTCACTCACTTCAGGGATGGGTGGGAGTGTACCTTGCTGGAGGTGCACAGCAGACTGGCCTGTGCCCATAGAAATGAGTGAGTTGCCATTGTTTTTGGTAAAAGTCCTCAGAAAAGGCCTCTATTTCACAATATCCTAAGGCAGGGCTATGCGTCCCAAGAGCAGAGCAGTTGGTATTTTGCATATGATAAAACAAAGAGCATAATTCCTGCCCATAATTAATTGGCTCCATCTGAAATTAATGAATTTCATATACATGTGTTGCGCTGGTTTAATTTTAATTTAACATGTGTTTGTCATTTTTATCACAATGAATTTTCATGGACAAGGTCTTCCCTCTGGGTTTCTTGTTTCTCTACCCCAGAAACAGAGGCAGGTCCACGGCTTTGATGTTTTGGGGATTGCTTCAACTCTGCTGTGACTGGCCTTTGAAATCACTGGAAAAAATTTCCAGCTTGCTGTTGTGACTGTGCTGGTCTCACTCTTCCTGACATTTGTCTGAGTCCTTATCTGTTTGGCACTTGGGTCAGGTACCTGCTAGGATGGTGAGACCACATACACCAGGATGATGTGTCCAGCTAAGAGCTTGGATGGCATCTCTGACCCCAGTTGCAGGGCTGGCCATGGCTTTGTCACCATCCTAAGCAAAACTGGTATTCCCATCCTTAAGTTTCACATCAAATCATGGCCTGGGCTAATCTGTTCTTAGCGATTGAGTGAAACATGAGACGTTGCTTTGGGGAAGTGGTCATTGTCCTGCAGGACACGACACCAAGCTACACAGGGTCAGGACTCCGTGCTTGCTCTAAGAGCCAGCACAGCCCCAGTCCCAGCAGCAGGCTGATGTCGGTTTGCCACCGCCAGCTCCTGAACTTGCACCCTTGCTGCTTCACCTGGAAATCAATTCTGGCTGCCCCTGAGCTTTTGTGTCACAATGCAAATCCTCATTAGGAGCTGGGGAGCCTGGGGCTCATGTGTGCCTCTCCAAAACTGGGCTGGATTCATCAGGGATTGAGACTTCCAGGTCTCCTCTAGCATTGCTGCCTGGTGGGGCTCGCTTGGGGCTTCCTCCTGGCTCTGAACCTGGGCAACACGTCCCTCCCTGCTGGCTGACTTAAAACAAGTCAGGAGAAGGTTTCCTATCCCAGCCATCCAGCTGGAGCAAAGAGCCTTCCTTTTGTGTGTATCCCTGTTCCCTCGGCGAGGACAGGAAGCCAGGGAGACGGGTGATGTTGTATTTAAAGCCCGTGACATTTGAGGTTTTTGCTTCTTGCTGCCCCAGGGCTGCTGTTGGGCTGTGCATGGGCAGCTTTCTCCCTCCTACCTTTAGCAAGCAGGGCTGCTCCCTCCAGCTCCCTTTATCCAGAGGTAGAGGAATCAGCCTTTTATTCGCCCATTTTTTGGATGAGGTGAAGTTTCCCATCACTGCTGGTATGCAGAGCGTGGGATCACTAATTCAGATTGGGATGATGAACTTTAGGATGCCTAAACTGGAGCAGATGAGCCTGGTCCTTCCTCTCCCCGTGCCTCCATCCCCGCGTGTAACAGGGAGCTATTGTATCCCTGCCTCTCCAGGGAGAGAAATCTGTGAATGATCCCCACACTGTGGGGAAAGGCACCAAGCAGTGGCTGATGAGCAAGAAGAGAAACTTTGCTGTGATCTGGAAGAAGGGAGTGCTTTGTCCTTTGCACTGATCTAAGATCTTACGGATGAAGATCTGCTTAGGACCCTTGCAGGAATCTCTTTTCATTGTCCTTCGCTGGGGTTGAGACAGTAGTTCTTGGTGAATAGTGGATCCATTTTTTTCCCCTTTTCTCCAGTTTGCAGAATATCCATCAGCACTGCCATGTGCTCACATTTATTATGAAAAGTAGTGTTCAGCCCTGGGGGGTTTCTGGGCTCTCCTGCCTTCTGCTATGGGTGAAATTCTGCAGAGGAGCCAGTGCAAGACCTATATAAGTCCCCATGTAGACTCCCAAGTCCCGATTTTTAAGGATGTTTATGGATATTGGATGCATAAACCCCTGCCCAAGCATGGTCTTTGGGGCTTTCACGGCACCTGTGCTAATGCATGTTGTGATGCTGGCTCTCTATGCAGCGATAGGAGTTTCTTACAGGAGGTCTAACAGATCTTTTCCTACCATTTCTCAACCCTGACGGGTGTATGGTTGCTCATTGGAGCTGCTTGTATCCATGCAGAAGAATATAATGCTTAGGTTTCCTATAGATATGTCTGCGTGCAAGTAGAAAATGCTCTGCCGGGCAGCACAGATACGTGTTTCAGCACCCCAAAAAAACCTGGAAGGCTTTAGAAATAAAATTGGATCTGCTACAGTAAACCTGAAAGGATGGTCAGAGCAAAGTCTTCTGAAAGAAGAAAAATAAGACAAATACCTGCCACTTTTGTGAAGAATTTGCTCAACTCCCTAATGCCGCTGTGAAAGTTTGAGATCCCTCGTAGCGCTGAAATCCCAGCAGCTAATGATTTTAGATCAGTCAGGAAGCCTCGGGGTGCGATGGTGTCTGCAGGGAATGTTTCAAGGTGGTAATGATTGGTTTTGTTCCTAAACACGGTGCAATTACCTAATGTGCAGATAGCTGAAATTTTTCAGCTGCTGTGAGTTATTTGGGTATGTTTTGCTCCCGTGAGGCTCTGCCAGCAATTTTCTGTCGTCTTGTCTTCAGAAATTTCAACCGAACTTGGGCTTTCCTGGTGGGATCTGAATTTTGGGATGGGGGGGAGAGGTTGTGTAGCTGTGGCACGTGGGGTGTACAAGGGGAGGAGGGGGGCTGCCGGCTGCTCAGCTGGTCCTGGGCACATCCCTGGGACTGCCCGGGCACGGGGTACACGAATCCCCTGGTGATTTGGGGAGAAGGGGATGGAAGCACAAAAAAAATAATTGATTTTTGTTTAGATTAACAGACCCCTGACCATGAAGAAAGAAGGAATTCAGACCAGAAACCGAAAAATGTCTAGCAAATCCAAAAAGTGCAAAAAGGTCCATGACAACCTTGAAGACTTTCCCAAGAGCAGCTCCTTTAACCCCGCCGCCCTCTCCAGACACATGTCCTCCATCAGCCACATTTCACCTTTCAGTCACTCCAGCCACATGCTGACTACACCGACACCGATGCATCCTCCATCCAGCCTCTCCTTCGGACCTCACCATCCTTCCAGTATGGTCACTGCCATGGGTTAGCGAGAGACTCCCCTGCTGAATGCTTACGGTCTCAAAATGAGATTTACTTTATATACTTGCATTTTTGCAGGCGTGTGGTTATGGGTCTGACGTCCCGAATCAAATGGGAGGGGGAAAAAAGAATTAAAAAAAAAAAAAAATGTTATTTGAAGGCATAAGAGAGGAAAAAAAAAAAACCAGAAAAAAACTACAAAAAGCACAAAAAAGGAAAAAAAAAAGAAAAAAAGAGAAAAAAGTAAAAAAAAAAAAAGTTTTAAAAAAGTGATGTTTGCCACTTTTTAAAGGAACTCACTATGGCGTCTATGTATTCTTACCCACTGAATCTGGATACCATTTGTTTATAAGCCATTCAGAACTTGCATTCCCTATTGGACAGGATCTCTAGTGCTGTGAAAAAATAATAAAATAAAGTGACGGCATAGGAAAGTATTAAGGAATACTCATGAGTCTAGTACCAAGAGCTCAGCTGCTGTATTTGATTTTTCCATAAGTTAACCCTACAATGCATTGATTGCAAGCGGTGATATAAAAGCATCCCTTTAAAGGAAAAGAAAAAAAAAAAAGAGGACGGGAGGAGAATTTAAAAACCAGAAAAACAAACAATGCAGACCAAGAGGAAACGCGGTCTTACGAACAAATGGACCAACTGCCAGTCATGTCTTCTCCTTTTATTTTATTTTTATTTTGGTTTTTTTGGTTGGTTTTTTTTTTTCCGGTTTCTTTTTCATTTCCGGGGAGGGGGAGGGGGCTGGCTAGAATGGTTTTGATGATGCATTAACTAACTAACTAATTAAATAAATAACTAAATAAATAAAACCTGTAGGGAGATCATTCATTTCGGGCCACGGGCCTTTTACATAGGAAGTACCAATGGTGTCAGGCAATCAGTGTTAACATGCGGACATTGCCAACGAGGGGTTTTCAGATAGCCATTCTCCAGGTCTATACGCATTGTGAACAAGTTCCTGTAATTGTTGTTTGTATGTATAATTCAACGCACCAAAATAAGAAAGATGTAGATTTATTTCATCCTATTATACAGACTGAATGGTTGTACAAATTTATTTACTGCTAGTGATAAGACCTGCTTTTTTTGTTTTGTTTTCATATTTTTTCCTCCTTTTTTTTTTTTTTTTTGGAGAATAAACTAGATTAAATTCTGTTGACTTAAAAGTGTTTTGTGCTTGGGGGTGGGAAAGGGAGTATGTTTCTTTCTTTCTTAATTCTTTTTTTTTAAAATTTGTTTTGGTGGTATTTAATCACGTAGTTACCACGGGTACGGGAATGTGTGTCTCTGTGCTCATGCTGACAGCCAACGCAGTGTTTGCGGTGGCTTGAAAAAAAAACCCCACGGAACAAAGGAAAAAAAAAAAAAACAAACCTCAAAAATAAATGGACTGCATGTTAGTGTAACCCCACTGTCCGGTGTGTGCTCCCTGCCCCTCGAACCACAGCCCAGCCGCTGCCCCCGCCTGATGTCGGGCTCCCACGTGGGATGGGTCCCTTTTGGTCTCAGTCAACCATGGCCACCACGGTGGCAAACCTGTGTCGATGACAATTCGGGACTGGGATAAGTGCAAAGGTATGGCAGGGTCCTTATGGTCCTGGCTACTTTTTGGGCGGTACTAGGAAAGACCCTGCGACTTTGGACGGGAGCTGGAAAAGCACTTTCTGCTCTGCCCCGTTGGGTACTCAGTGGTATAATTTGATGGTCTAAAGTTGAGATCTTGATGTGAAATCAAGATGGACCAGACCCTGTCCCTGTGCTTGGAGGAATGGGCAGAACCTGTTCCAAAAGGCTGGGCTTGATGGTAGACAGAGGACAATTCCCAAAAATTCAAAGGCCATCAGCCAGCCCCTTCCTGCAAGAGTTTTCTTTGAAATAATGCCATTTGTATTAACATTATTATTGTTAATAGCAAAGTTTGGCTCTTATAATTTGATTTCTGATGGTTTAATCCTTAGGAATCAGTCCTCCTTTTAATCTTCAGTATTTACTCTTCCAGCTTCTTTATACTATCATAAGGGTTGGGCATTTACTTTCCAAATAAAGGGTTAAACGTCTTATCGCCCCACTCCATTTGCTGGAGGTTTAAGCATGGTGTGATAAGACAGAGGTTGCCAAGGCGGAGAGAAAATGCTTAAAAAACCCCAAACAAAAAAACAACCCCCAAACTTATAAACCTCAACAGACGTGACCTGCAAATGAATTATTATTTTTTTTGATGCGGAATGAAATAACTTGAGTTCCTTCACCCAGAAATATGTGTACTCCTGACTTTCAGTGCCAAGTGGATGGAAAAATATCACCATATCTGTCAGATGCTATTCTGAACCCACTTTCTCTTGGGTGATAACTGGAGAGGGTAACAGTGCCATGGTCTCATCTTCTTCTGCAGGATGGCTCACATGAGTAAGGATGTTTCATTTAAGAAGGACCACTTCAAAACTTTCAGGATCATTATACAGAGGTCAAAAAGTGATTTGATTTGGGAACTGGGGAGGAGGGGAAGAGTATTGACCTTTATTTGGGCTTTTTCTCCCCTGTTTCAAAATGAACCTAGTTAAACTATGTCTACAGTAAAGGAGGATTTAGCAGATGTAAGCGGAACAGGCAGTAACCGTTTTGTAATGTTGTATATTCTTTCCTTTTTTCTCTGTTGACAAAAACCTGTAAAAAAAGTCAGAACAAATGGCACACATTTAAAATCTTATGTTAATCACCTTTCTGCTTTCTCAATGAATATTTTAAGCATAAAGACTAAATGTCGAAATGAAAGAGTGAAGAATTACTGAGATGCAAATGGAGATCTTGTTGGCTCCTAATTAATCATCTGCGAACTATAAAGCTATTTTCAATTAGTCTGACAAATCAAAGGAAATAATCATCTTTGCTGATATTAAGCTTGAGAGATTATTATTTTTTAATTCGTGATGCTACAACCTTTCCCTCCTTTTGCTCATCAACAGATTGCAGTTGGACTAAGACATTGATTCCAGGACCTCAATAATGGTGAACATTAGAGGAGGATTTGCACGGCAGAATTTTGCACTCGTGTGTTATTGTGTTCGAATCTTTCCATTTGCTTTAGAGGGAACTGGCTCCTGAGTTTCTCACTCTAACTTTTTTTTTTTCTAAAAACTGGAAACATCTTCTTGTAGATTCCTTCTGATGTTGTTTCATAGGTCTTAGGGGCATTGAGTGAGATGAAGCAGGACTGGGGCCAGCTCAGAGAACGAGCATCCTGGAAAGGACACAAGTGCAGACACTCTGTCTGCATATACTCTAGGAAACATATACAGTTTGTCTAGAGAGTTCTTACATCAATTATCTTATATTCTGATGCCAGGAGCGGGATGAATAGGATCTCTCACATCACATACCCCCTGATTAGTGCCCGAGATGCTAAATTAACATGAGTGGTCTACCAGTTCCTCAGTTATGGTTTTTTTTTTTTCTTTTCTTCTCCCACAGCAAATATTCCAGAATTTTAATGTCTTGAAGGGTTTTGTTTGCGTGTTTGTTTTTTTGTTATGTTTTTTGGTTTGTTTGCTTTGTTTTGTTTGTTTGCTTGGTTTTTTTGTTTCTTTCCTTCCCTTTAATGCATGGGAAAAAGCTGCTTTACAGGAAAGGCCAAGAGCTGTTGTTCTCGGGCAAACGTCTTGTGAACAGCGACTCTGCCTTTCTTCATTTCTGAAATTGCAGGGAAGAGCTGATGATAGGCAGGTTGGAGCAGAAAAGCACTCTGAGTCATGGCTCTACTTCGATAATCTATATTGTGTAGAAAACACCATGGAAGTCATTAGTGGGGTCAAATCTTGTGGTCCTTTTGCAGGCAAAATGCCTTCTGGGAATTTGAGTGAATAATAGCTGCTGTGCTGATGTGACTCTGGTAACTACATTTTACCCATGATCCAAGCAAAAGTCCATTGCCATCAGTGGAAAGACTCCTAATGAGTAATGCAATAAGACTTGAATCAAGACCTCCTAAGTGTTAATTTCAGCGTTACCACCTTGATTTGTCTGCCTTAGTTAACTTTTCAGCTGCATTGGTCCTGTGTCAGTACACGTGTGCGCACACAGACATACACGCAATATTGAAGGGACATTTTTAAGATGACCAAACTCAATGCTTCAAGGCTGACGAAATGAGAAATGCTGTAATTAACACCATCTGCAAAACCTTTATTTTTTTCCTGTGCATTTGAATTATGAGTTGTCTTAGGATGCATCTAGACCTGCATTTATGTTCAGATTAGCAGTGCGTTTTTGAAGTGATTTCCCAATAGTCCCACCTTAGGGTGATGAGATTTTACCTTGGCTCATGCAACGTGGTTTCCTTGGACCCCCACCTAATCTGCTGCTACACTAATGGGAACTCAGGCCACAGGGCCAGACTAAAACTACCCTGAAGCAACCCCCCAAATTGCGGTCTTTGGGTCCTCAGCACAGCTTTTTTTTCCCTCCAGAGTCACTCCTACTGCTAATGCACACATTGCCATAAACCACATGCTCTCATACTCCTTTTTGGTCACCGAGACTCCTGATTCACTCAGGACTGGTTGTAGTCTGGGGAAGAATCTGGGCGGTTGATGAAGGGGCTAGTGGGAACCTGTTTTCTTTTTTGGCGTTTGGGAGGTGTTTGGGATAAGAGACCAGAAGACATTCTTATGGAAAAAACCTGTAAACTACACCTTAAAAAATGTCATGTTTATCCCTACTTCTTTCATAGAGGTTCTATATGGCATTGGGAAACTCAGCCCAGTCTTGTCACATGGGGACAGCCACTAATCGTGTGATCCTCCCTTTCGGGGATGCCTAATTTCACACCCTGAGTTCTGCTTTGCAGAAATGTTCAGTGTTCTCAGTGGTATCTGACGCCAGGGGATCTTGTGCCCGGATTAATGCTGCATAATACCAAATTCTTTAAAAATACAGGGTTTTTCTCAACCTGAACTGCAAATCTAGGGCTTCATTTCTTCCACTTCCTTCCATCCCCAAATCTGGAGAACAGATAACAACTCCTTCTCTCCTCAAAGATGTGTTGTGAAGATAAATCCATCACTTGTGAAGTGCTCGGATGCACGTTGATGAGCACCACGGGAAACCCATCAGCTT